GATTGATAAACTATTCTATTTGAGATAAAGTTGCATGATATGTATTGAATACACTACCGTTCTTCATCATTGTAATGTTTTAGATATAAAAAGTTCGTTTCTATATAAAATACAATGGATTACTATGTTAAAACCAAGTTTTCCTCTTACTTTGTTTTTCAAGTTTAGCAAAGAAGAATTAGGCCTTCAAGTAGAGTGTTTGAGACATATTTATAACCATGTTTACCTCTTATTTTGTTCTTCAGTTTGGCATGGACTCGATTGCGGTGAAATAGTTGACTTTTACCGACATGAAAAGACTAAGGTTTTGCGCGAGAGAAGAGAACCGAAAGAGGTTTTAATCTTGTTGTTGTTTCATGTTTTATTGACATAAGTTTTGTATCAGTACATATATATGTGTTTTATATTAGTGTGTATATGATTTTGTAAAGAGAAACAATATTTTGGACATAAAGATTAGCATTTTAACATAAGAAAGGGGTTAATCGCCAATGTATTAGGGTTTATATTGTCTTAATTTTTGTTTAGTGATTAGCGTCCATACCCTTTTAATTGACAATTTATGGGGTTTATACAAAAGTATGAGATTAAGGTGAGAAAATAAAAAGATTATCATAAGGAAGAGGTTAATCGGCAATGGATTGGGGTTTATATTTTTTAATATTGTTTAGTGATTAGCGTCCATAGCATTTTAAATGTGGTTTATATTTTGATAGCATTTTAACATAAGAAAGGGGTTAATCGCCAATGTATTAGGGTTTATATTTTCTTAATTTTTGTGTAGTGATGAGCGTCCATAACTTTTTAAATGACAATGTACTAGTCACTTTCCTAACCTACCTCCTAATACCGTATGTAGTAATCCTAATTAACAAAAAAAACGGAATGGAACATATGAATACAAAAACGGAATGGAATGGATGATCTAGTTATAATGGAACAGAAATAGGTAAACTGTTTGAAGATTATCATAAGAAGGGGGTTAATCGTTAATGGATTGGGGTTTATATTTTCTTAATTTTTGTTTAGTGATTAGCATCCTTAGCATTTTTAAATGGGGTTTATATTTCCATAGCATTTTAACATAAGAAAAGGGTTAATCTCCAATGTACTAGTGTTTAAATTTTCTTAATTGTTGTTAGTTATTTTCTTAATTGTCTTTTAAATGAAAATTTATGGGGTTTATACAAAAAAAGTAAATGTGGCACTAAAAGAAAGAGATTAAGGTGAGAAAAAGGAAAAGATTAACCTAATTCCTATCCCACCTACTAATAATGTATGTCGTAAGCCTACTTAATAGAATGGAACATATGAATATAAAAACGGAATGGAAGGGATGACCTATGTAGAATAGAACATAAATAGTTAATATTAGTTTATATTAGTCTATATATGATTTTGTAAAAATAAATAATATATTGAAAGTAAATGGAATAGAATTTATTATGTCATCAGATAAAACAGAATACAATGTGATGTTGAATGAGAATGACATTCATATAGAATAGTAATGCATGTAAGTTCCATTCTCAGTTATGTTAATTTTTGTTTTGAAACGTGTATACTTATTAGCCATTCATTTTGCTGCATTTTCTGACATCATATGTGTTAAATACAATTGAATTACACGTTTCATATAGGTATGTGATTGTTAATAGGGAATTCATATGCCGCAAAAAATCACCACGTAGCTTACTATAAAAAGTGTAACTGGCTACCTGTTATGCAAAGGGACATAACCGGATGAATTATGATCAAAAAGCCTGACATTAAATTATGTCAAAGTCATTGCTATCTACCTAATTTCACTACCAAATATGGCTACTACACAAATAAGCCCTTTAAAGTTTGTGCATTATGAGGTTTTGTGTTATTTTGTGATTTTTATTCTCATATGAAATAATTCAATAAAGTGATTTTGTGTGTTTTCATGTAGACTTAAAACATGCCCTTTAATATGTTATACAAATGCAGATGTGTTTGCAAACAAGTTATACGGCTTACACTTTTTAATAGTCCTTGTAATATGCAGTTCCCTCCACGTTAGATAAATTCTTCCTCTTTGTATTTTCTTTTGCGGCAAGCAAAGGGTAGTTTCGTAAATGTGTGGGATGACTTTAGACAAGTCGTTTTTCTATTTTAACGGCATAGCCGACTTTAGACGAGTCATAAGTGTATTACCAAGTCTCTTGGCTCTCTCAAGCATCATCGTACGCAGACACGATTGATACAAACTCAAGGATGGGGCAAACAAGCAGCGTTGAATCTAGAGTTGAAGGCAGAGGAGATATTGTGACCGGGCCATCTCCTTTCGATGACTTGCCAGGGGAATGTATTTCTTACATCATCTCTCTTACACGTCCTCGGGATGCGTGTGTTGTTGCATCAGTTTCGAAAACATTTCGATCCGCGGTCCAGTCGGATAGCGTGTGGGAGAAGTTTCTACCGCTAGGGTATGCATCTAGGATCCCACAGCCGCGAGTTTTCTCATCGAAGAAGGACCTTTATTTCGCTCTTTGCGATCATTATTTAATCAATGATGGCAAAAAGGTACATATACATTTGTGAAATGATTAGTCTTTGACATATGCTTATATTTGACCATATTGGTGTAGATTTAAACTTTGATTTCCGTTTGAGAATTATATGAACAATAACGTGTATTGAATTATTTTTTTTCTTGAAAACCGAAGATCATTTGGTTAGATAAAGCGAGTGGGAAGAAGTGTATCATGGTATCTGCGAAAGAACTAACAATCACTTGGGGAAACAGTCCTCAACATTGGCGATGGATTTCTATACCTGAATCTAGGTAACTCTTTTATTTTCAGTTTTATCTTTATATTCATTATAAATGTAAAGCATTAAAAATGTTTTATGCAGGTTTGAAAAGGTAGCTGAGCTTCTCAGTGTATGGTGGTTTGAGATTCGTGGCAAAGTGAATACTCGTCTCCTATCTCTTGGAACTCGTTACTCGGCTTACATTGTATTCAAGACGGTGAATAAATGTCCTGGCTTGGCGGATTTGCCAGTAGAAGTGGGAGTTGGATTGGTGGGACAAGAGACTCCTAAACAACTCATCTACTTTGATGGCTATATGGATAAAGATGCTCGAAAAGCAAAGGGAGAAATGAGAGATGTAAAGAAACCGAAGAAGAGGGAAGATGGGTGGATGGAAGCAGAGCTTGGAGAATTCTTGAATGAAGAAGGTTGTGAAGAAATCGAGTTGAGTCTTATTGAGATTAGATCTCCTTATTGGAAGTGTGGTTTGATCATTCAAGGAATTGAACTCAGACCTACAAAAAGCCGGTAGATTAATAATACTTGTTTCCTGCGATGAAAGAATCGTTTGATATTTCTCAGGTTGTGCTTTCCTTTAATGTTTACTAGAATCTGATCCCCAAGTTTTTTTTTTCAATTTATAAATGTATATTCTATTATCTTTAAATATATGATTTATGTTTTAGTATTATACATTGTGTAACTCTATAATTTTATTGTCTAAGTTTCCAATTCGATATTATTAATATGTAATGGTTTGTTCTATTCTTAATCTACTTTATTATCAATTGTTATTATATACTAATTTATTTTTCGAGTTCAATGCGCTAAATCCATTATTTAAATAATCAAAGAGAGATCTTCTTAATATATATATATATATATATATATATATATATATATATATATATATATATATTAAATTTCTATAGTTTGCATAAAATACTTTAAAATTATTAAATTATACAACATATAAGATATATATTTAGGATATTTTTTAAGTTGAGTTTTTGAAAGTATATACCTTAGTATATTGCATGATCTTATCAGTAATTCCTTATTCTACTTAAGTAATTTTTAAAAATTGTAAGTTTTTTGTACTGATAGTTGTAAAGAGAAATATTAACTTACAGTATATTTCGAGTCCCAAATATTATTATTTTGGAATTTTTTAGTTTTGGTCAAAATGAAAAAGATATTTATTTAAGATGCTACAAACATAAAATCCCCACGCAATGACATAGTTTGTGCGCCCTTTACTGTTCTCGCTCAGTGTTTGCAATGGCTGGGGAGGCAATAGTAGAAGCGAAATTTATCATCCTGCCAATCAACATATATGAAAGATTTTAGATATTAAAAAAATATAAATTAGCTATGGGAACATATTATTTTAGTAAATTTTATCGATATATGATATTTTAGATGATATGGTATTAAATTTTCTGATACTTGTTATTAACTTAAGATTTACAAATATTACACTATTTTTTATTCTAGCATATAAATTTCAAAATTTTATACTTTAGCATCCAAGATTTTATCCTTTATTTTGAAAATTTTATTTATCCTCAAGAGAAATATATAAAATGACACAATTATTTTGAGTTTGGAAGATTATATGAATTGTGATTTTTTTTTTTGTTACTTAACTAAAGCAATATTATATTAGAAATATTTGAAAATTTTGGTAAGTTTTTCTCAACATATATTTTCATAATTAAAATTTTCAAATTTTGCTAATAGTATATTTTATAAATAATACATGAACTATAGGTTAGTTATATACTATTATATGCTGTATATAACCATTTTAAATAACACACTGTTTTGAGTTTCAAAAAATAATAAGATAATATATAGTTGTAGATATAAAGATAACGGTTTTTAACATTTTTATTTATGTATAAAAATACTTACAAATTTAACCTGATTTAATGGTTACTGTTATTTTATTATTTACGTAGATAAAAGTATTTTAAAAATAAAATAGGTTAATTTACTAATTGAACATAGTTTTGTCCTAATTAATTCATTTATATTTTTATTTTATTATAATACTAAGTTTTGGTTTACAATTTTAAGACTTTATTAAAGATATTAAAAGGGTAGAACCTCTTCGTTTAACCCGTTTTGACCCACCTCCATTTAAACTCCAAATATCTGCAAATCAATTTAATTTTAAGATCTAATATGATTCTTCGTTTTAACATATGATAAGTACATTGGATAATTTAGACACGTTTAAACTATTTGGAATATTTTGAAGAAAAAAAAATTTCCGTTTTAGTTTTTAAATTTGGTTAAATTTTAATATTTATTGTATCAAATAAAAATATATGTTTATCTAATTTTTATTATTTAAAACAATATTTTAAAAATATAATTAATTGTTATTCATTTAATATTTAACTTATAATATGTTTTTTTATTGAAAGATAAAACTATTTGTATATCTAAATCAATTCTAATCAGTATATCCACATACAAGACTATATACTTAAAATTAATATTAGAAATGAGGATGTTACTTTATGTATTATTATGTTTGATGACTTGGACACCCAAAAAAGAGAATTTTTCGGGTTCGCTCCGTAGAGTAGTAGAGTGAACATTTATGTTCATCAACCAATACAATTTTATTGTTTCATATTCAGTATCTTCTAAAAGAGGAAACAAAATATTTTCGAGTTATATTATATTTTTAAAATTAAAAGAAATAAATAGAAAAGAATAATAGTTACAAACAAAAAAATTTAAAAAAATATTTTTTTAATACCATCAGCAAAAGACTAAATTCTAAATCCTAAACCCTTGGGTAAATCCTCAATCCTTGGATTAATCTTAAATGCTAGGATTTATGATTAATCCAAGGGTTTAGAGTTTACCCAATGAATTAGGGTTTAGGATTTAGTGTTTAGGTTTAGTGTTTTGTTGACACTATTAAAAATATTTTTTTAAAAGTCAAGAATTTATCTAAGGGTTTAAGATTTACAAAAGGGTTTTAAAGTTTAGGATTTAGGGTTTAGTGTTTTGATAATAGTATTAAAAAAGAAATTTTTTTCGCAACTACTATTATTTTTTATTTATTTTTATCTTTATATTTTAAAAACATAATATAACTCGATAGTATTTTGTTTCTTTTTTAAAAAAGATATTGAATATAAAATAACGTAATTCTATTAGTCGATGAAGGTAACCCAAGAATTACTCCCCAAAAAATAACAAAAAGGGATACTTTTTGGATGGTGTATAAAGAACCAAAATACATACGTATCAACGGGATAAGTTGAAGGAAGTTTCCAGTTTTTACTTCTTTGCAAAATTAGTTTCTTTTTATGTTCTTTTTCCCCTTCTTCTCAAAATTGGTTTTTCGCTTACATTCTTTCTCCCAGTCAATGGCCGATGAGTTGCTAGTGATATTCCTTCTCGTTTCATATTTGTTCGTCTCAGGTACTCTCTTTTCCCAGAGAAGTCTTTCTGCTTTTATTTTAGTTTTATGAATATTATTTTAGTTTCCACATGTTTTGTTCTTAAAATCGCCAGGAGTAACCTCAAGAAACTTTACCATAGAGAACAAATGCGATTACACTGTCTGGCCAGCAACCTTCAATAGTCCTGGGAGCATTAATTCCCTCTCCACCACCGGCTTCACGCTGAGGAAAGGCGAGGCGCGTGTTATCAACGCGCCGCTCTCATGGACCGGTCGTTTCTGGGGTAGGACATTCTGCTCCACCAACTCAACTGGAAGTTTCTCCTGCGCCACCGGAGACTGTGGTACCGGGAAAGTCGAGTGCTCCGCAGCCTCGGCCGGCAGTTCTTTTCCGGCAACTTTAGCCGAGTTTAGCCTCGACACTATCGGTAAAGACTACTACGACGTATCTAAGCCATCTCCTGCGAAGTGCCTCTTATCACGCATCTAAGCTTTGCGGATGATGTTTTAATATTCTTTGATGGGTCTGAGGAGTCTTTAGATGGTATTTTGAGCATTCTGGAAGAGTTTCGAAAAGTTTCTGGACTCAAGATTAATAAAGACAAAACTGAGCTTTTAATTGATGGTGGGTGTGCGGTAAGATGTCAGGAGATGGCTGAGAGATTGGGAATAAAACAGGGATCTTTGCCCATTAGGTACCTTGGTGTTCCTTTATCGTCAAAGAGAATGAAGAAGAGTGACTTCCAACCTCTCCTCGACAAGATCCTTATCCGTTTCAACTCGTGGACTGTGAGGCATTTGTCCTTTGCAGGTCGTTTCCAGCTTATACAGGCGGTAATATATTCCACAATATCCTTTTGGGCTTCTATTTTCATAATACCAAAGGAATGTATCGCTTTATTGGAGCAAATGTGTAATGCTTTTCTATGGAGAGGTGCACCAACTACAGCAAGGGGAGTTAAAATCTGTTGGGATTCGGTTTGTACTCCTAAGGAAGAAGGAGGGCTGGGTCTGAGGAGGCTCGAGGAGTGGAATCAGGTGCTGGGTCTCAAGCTGATTTGGCTGCTGTTTGCTAAGGGAGGATCGTTGTGGGTTTCTTGGGTGAAAAGAAATTTGATTGGTGATCAAAATTTCTGGGAGTTGCAGCCTCAGAGTTCTGATAGTTGGATTTGGAAGAGCTTGTGTAAACTGAGACATATTGCTAGACCTATGGTGGTTTGTGAGGTGGGAATGGGAAGAACTGCTAGATTTTGGCATGATAACTGGACCTCATTGGGTCCATTGATTGAACTCACGGGAGTTAGAGGGCCTGCAGTTACAGGTTTGTCTATTGATGCAGTGGTTGCAGATGCTCTGCGGAATGGTAGTTGGTGGTTGAGTAGAAGTCGTAGCAGGAACAACATCATTTCATTTGTGAGAGCGTGTCTACCAGATCCGGAGCCGATTTTAGCTTCTGAGGTGGAGGATGTGTTTCTTTGGAAGCCAGGAGACAGAGAAGCTTCTGATAAGTTCTCTACTGCTGCTACGTGGTCCGCGTTACATCCGCAAGGTGAACAGGTTCCTTGGTCCAAACAAGTTTGGTTTCAAGGCAGGATTCCGAAGCATGCCTTTATTACTTGGGTTCTTGCTCGGGATAGGTTGGGCACGAGAGATAGATTGAGGAGATGGGGATTACAAGTTCCTTCTATCTGTGTTCTGTGCAATCAGGCGGATGAAACACGGCAGCATTTGTTTTTCGATTGTGTTTTCAGTACCGTGGTCTGGTCTTTCTTCTGCACTAAGCTTCATCTTACTCCTCCCACGTTGTTTGATGATGGTCTTAGATGGCTGAAAGCGCCTTCGTCTGATGAGTTTGTGTCGTTGATCATCAAGTTGGTGTATCAAGCTTCGATTTATTGTATTTGGAAGGAGAGAAATGCAAGGATTCATGCTCCCTTGAATAGTGTAGCTTCAGTAAGAACAGCTAATGCTGTGATTTTTGAGATAAAACAGATAGTGCAGGCTCGTTTGGATCCTCTGTCTAGAGCCCATAAGTCGAATAGGAGGGATATCACTTTACTAGGAACATGGATGGCGAGTTTTTAGTTGCTTGAGTAGTAGATCATTTTTGGAGTTAGTTTGTGTATAGAAAAAAGTTAGTGTGGAGGTAGCTTTTATCCTTGCCCGGTTGTGGGTTGCAAAATAAAGGAATCCTTTGTAATCTCTTTGAAGGATTAATAATTAAAAAAAAAAAAAAAAAAAAAAAAAAAAAAAAAAAAAAAAAAAGACTACTACGACGTATCAGTCGTCAACGGTTACAACCTTCCCATCTCAATAGTCCCACAGGAAGACAAGACGTGCAACAGCACCGGGTGCGTTGTCGATATGAACGTGACGTGTCCATTCGAGCTGAGGGTGACAGCCAGCAACACCAGCTTGATCGCATGCATGAACGCATGTCAGAAGCTGAAGTTGCCGGAGTATTGCTGTACCGATGATTATGCATCACCGGACAAGTGCAAACCGTCGCTGTATTCTCAGAACTTCAAGAGCGTGTGCCCACGCGCCTATAGCTACGTCTACGACGATACTAGCAGCACCTTCTCATGCGCAAGTAATAACTATGCCATCACCTTTTGCCCGTCGACTATTCTCAGCACAACCAAGTAAATTTCCGTAAACGCCCCTTCTGCTTTTTCGTTCCTATTTTTTTGTCAAACCGCGTTGGTAGTAGAATATGATCAAACATCACACGGCTTTTACTTCGACCATTCATTCTACCGACAATTTTTTTTTCTAAATGTTGATAGTTGAACTTGAATTGGACCATAGATTCTGAATCGATCATTAAACCATATTTGAAAATGTATGAATAAAGAATAAGATTTAAGACAATAGATTCCAAAACCAACCAAATTCAGACTAAAATGACTGTTAATTTTCATATGCTAAACAGAACGAAACTAAATAATATGACAAAAAAGCTTTTTATTTTTCTTATAACTGGTAAAGCAAGAGATTGGAAAAATGAATCAAATTGTAAGCCAAATTTCATCTCTCGAGAAGTCAAGTTATTTTTGAACTATTAAAATAAATGGATATATTTAACATTCTTATAATATTATTTGAAAAAACATTTTTATAAATGGATATATTTAACATTTGCGATCATGTTATTATAAGAGTGATTAATTAAAAAGTTATCCTAAATTGATGATAAATTATAAATTGTTATTATTAAAATTGTTAAAATTTCTTTTTTTTCCTTATTAAATTTATACTTGGGGTTTTCATTATAATTTCCCTTTTCTTTTATTTTAAAAAATCCACATAAATAATAAAAATAAAATATATAAAGATATAAATATTTAACGAGTTTTATTGTTAGTTATCTTTATATTTTCATAAATCAACATAAATAAAAAAGGAAATCTCTACAAAAGAAATTAAAAATATATTTTTATACATCAACCATAGTTTCACAACAAAATAATATAGGTATTTTTTTAAAAAAATAAAACAAGATATATTTTCATATCTAAAACTTTAAATTAACAAAAATACAAAAATTATCAGTTTAATCTAATTAGTAGAAAAATAGTTATTGTACATATTATATGAATAATACAATTTCAATATGATTCTTATACTCAAAATCAGAGGCTTATTTAAGTCAACAAAACAACTTAAACTTATAAAAAAATACAAATTAAAATATTAAAATTATATAAATTATAAATATTTATATTTTGCATGATCACGGGAAAATGTTTAATATCTATAAATTTGGAACTTCTAAACTGAAATGTGGCTAGATAATTAAAAAAACTGAACCGCTGACCATAAAAAAAAAAAAAAAAAAAGTAAACTGAGCCCGACCTGAAGATTTTAAGAACATTTGGTATTTTTCTCTAATTGTTGAAATTGCTACTTATATACTGTTATATGATCTGCTACTCGCTGGACAAAATCAACAACAGTTCTTCAGTGGCTGATTCTCCATTTCCAGCTCAAACAAAAGATGGAGGTCTTGGACCTCCCACAGGGTCTCAACCCACCAATGAAGCTACTACAGAACAAAAAAGTAATTTTTTTTTTTGTGTTTTTCATATCAAAGTTGACTGTGTCATTATTTTGTTCTGATAAGAATTATTGTTTAAAACATTTTGCAGAAAAATTATCATGGAAGTTAAAACTCATCATGGGTACCCTATCCCTCAATCCATTTGACAGTAATCTCATGCGCATAGCAACACCATTATTTAAAAGATTGTTCTCTTATTACAGGAGTTTCAGCAGCTTTAGTTGTGATGATCATTATTATAGTGGGAATAATAGTGAGGGCACGGAATGCAAGAAAAAATGATGCGAATGAAAAAAACGTTGAAGCAATTGTAATGTTGAAACGATATAGTTACGCAATAGTCAAGAAGATGACAAACTCATTTGCCCATGTTCTCGGGCATGGAGGCTTTGGTACTGTATATAAAGGGAAGTTACCGGATGGAAACCAAGATGTTGCAGTGAAGGTTTTAAAAGACTCAAAGGGGAATGGAGATGAGTTCATCAATGAAGTAGCTAGCATGAGTAGAACATCCCATGTTAATATCGTTTCTTTGCTTGGTTTCTGTTATGAAGGAAACAAGAGAGCTATAATCTATGAGTTCATGCCCAATGGATCTCTGGACAAGTTTATATCCCAGAATATGTCAGCAAAGAGGGATTGGGAGAAGCTATATGATATTGCGTTAGGCGTCTCTCGCGGCCTAGAGTATTTGCACAACCGTTGTGTGTCAAGGATTGTACATTTCGACATAAAGCCGCAAAACATACTCATGGACAAAGATCTTTGTCCTAAGATTTCTGATTTTGGTCTTGCTAAGCTCTGTAAAAATAAGGAGAGCATCATATCCATGCTAGACGCAAGAGGAACGGCAGGATACATTGCTCCTGAAGTGTTTTCTAAGAATTTTGGAGGAGTTTCACATAAGTCAGATGTGTACAGTTACGGGATGGTGGTTCTTGAGATGATTGGAGCAAGGAATAGAGAAAAGATTGAATATTCTGGATCCAACAATAGTTCAATGTACTTTCCAGATTGGATCTATAAGGATTTTGAGAGAGGAGATATCATGACGATTTTCGGAGATCAGATAACAACAGAAGAAGAAAAAATTGCAAATAAAATGGTATTGGTTGGTCTATGGTGTATTCAGACAAATCCATCTCATCGTCCAGCAATGATCAAAGTCATTGAAATGTTAGAGGGGAGTATAGAAGCTCTCCAGGTTCCACCTAAGCCTCTCTTGGGTTTACCCACAATGGTTCCAGAAACTGTTGAAGATAGTAATGAGACATCCTTCTCTAACCCAAGTCAGTTGGAAAGAGGTAATCTTTCAGCTCCTGAAGATACATTACAATTTTTCAACAAAGAGTTTCAAAAACCTGATAAAGGAAGTCAAAGTATTTCAAAGTCTTTCTCAACTAAAGTCAGCAGAGAGAGTTGATCTCTTACATAAAACTTTTCATTATCTTGAGGTATTCTTGTCGGTTGTTTATATAGAATTCATATGTGATTGTATTGATTATATGCTTATAGAACAAGAACCGCGCCATGAACGGTTATTTTGCATTTTTAGTGATAAGTATTTCATACTAGGTGTTTTGCCCGCACATGCGGGCATAATTTTTCGTATATATATTTTTTTTTATAACACTGATAGATTGGGGAACAAAGTAGTACGCGAAATAACAAAACAGAAGATACAATGTCAATAGTTTATTATTAGTCTTTATTTTATTAATTCAAACAAAAATAATAAGTTATGATTTATGCTTTAAAATTAATTATAAATGACAACACTCACATAATAAAATATTTTTAAAAATATATTTTACAAATGTGTTGCTTTAATTTATTTTAATTATAATTTTCCATCTTAATTTTTTTATTTCTATAATAAAAATATATTTTCAAGATAACAATATAATACATAAGAAGTATCTCATTTTCTCAAAATATATTTTTTAATAGAAATTCGTTTTTATTTTATATGAAATTATTAAAAATATGACAAATAATCAAAATTTTCTAAATCATGGAGAAATTACAAATCAGATAATTCACTTAAATTTTCTAATAGAAAATATATGTTCAAGATAACAATCTAACACATAAGAATTATCTTATTTTTTTAAATCTAGTATTATTATATACATTCGTTTTATTATTTAATAAATTATATATGAAACTATTAAAATATGATAAATAAGAAAAGTATAAAACCATGGAGAAATTGATAAATCAGCATTGCTTTCTTTATAATTTTTAATAGAAATTCGTTTTTATTTTATAATAAATTTTATATGAAATTATTAAAAATATGACAAATAATCAAAATTATCTAAATCATAGAGAAATTACAAATCAGATAATTCACTTAAATTTTCTAATAGAAAATATATGTTCAAGATAACAATCTAACACATAAGAATTATCTTATTTTATTTTAAATCTAGTATTATTATATACATTCGTTTTATTATTTAATAAATTATATATGAATTATTAAAATATGATAAATAAGCAAAATATAAAACCACCCTCTGTCTTTTGTTCAGTTCTCAAGTCCCTAAACTTATGAAGTCTTTTTTCTGTAGTGGACCAATTTGTTAACATGCCGCTGAGCCACTTTTTATTAACATAATGACACCGAGTCCTTATTGCAGCCCGCGACACTAAATCAGCTGCTTTATTTTTTGTCCCAACAATTAAGAATTGTTTTCCTCTACTTGCTGCATCAAAAACTAAATCACAAGCTTCTGATAAAAAACGAGCAGTTCTAGTCAGATTTATAATATGAATACCTTTACGCTTTGCCGAAATATAAGGTGCCATTCTAGGATTCCATTTCCTAGTACCATGTCCAAAATGAANACTAAATCAGCTGCTTTATTTTTTGTCCCAACAATTAAGAATTGTTTTCCTCTACTTGCTGCATCAAAAACTAAATCACAAGCTTCTGATAAAAAACGAGCAGTTCTAGTCAGATTTATAATATGAATACCTTTACGCTTTGCCGAAATATAAGGTGCCATTCTAGGATTCCATTTCCTAGTACCATGTCCAAAATGAAATCAACATTGCTTTCTTTATAATTTTTAATAGAAATTCGTTTTTATTTTATAATAAATTTTATATGAAATTATTAAAAATATGAAAAATTATCAAAATTATCAAAATCATGGAGAAATTACAAATCAGATAATTCTTTTAAATTTTCTAATAGAATTTATATGTTCAATATAACAATCTAATACATAAGAATTATTTTTTAAAAAAAAATCTAGTATTATTAATATACATTCGTTTAATTATTTAATAAATTTTATATGAAATTATTAAAATATGATAAATAAGCAAAGTATAAAACCATGGAGAAATTGATAAATCATCATTGCTTTCTTTATATTTAACTATTAATATTTGAACTTAATTTTAATTTCTATGATAAAAAATATATTTTAAAGATAACAATATAATACATAAGAATTATCTTATTTTTTAAAATTATAATATTATTAGTAGAAATTCGTTTTTATTAAATAATAAATTGTATATGAAATTATTTAAATAAGATAAATATACAAATTTACCTAAATTAAGGAGAAGTTGACAACTAAGCAAATTTACTTCTTAAATAATAGTATAGATATTGAATAAAGTGATTAAATAGTTTGTTCTCATACCTTATTTTCTACATGAGTTCAGTATTTCAATTTTTTTCATTTTAACGATTAATAATTTAAACTATCGTTTATATTAGTTATAGTTATTATTGTTTAGACGTTGAATATATTAGAAAATATCAATTATAATTGGTTTGTTAAATTTTATATCTTTATATATAAAGAAAAGCTTCACTCTCTTCTCATTCACCCACATCATCAAGTGATGTCATAAAATAGACTCCCTTTAATGTGACATCTGTCCACCGAAACTAAACCAAACGGTTTGATACTTTTGGTTGGAGCTCTACTGTAATTGATCCCCATTTAGCTATTTTAATCGATGTAACAAGAAGCCCAAATAAGTTTATACAGGGTTTGATTAGGTTAAAGGCGGATCCTTTGCTCTCCCGTCTCCTTAACGATCCGGCGCCGTCGACGTATAGCCTCCCGAGTTGCACGGAGAAACAAAACGCATCGACCATCATTACATTCATCTCAATATTTCTATTTTTCATCTTTCAGAATTAGAATGTCAAGCTCCTCTCTCCGGCTCACCGTTATCTCTTTTTTTCTGAGAAACTTATGGTTTTCTTATGTGTTGTGTAGGTAGTAGGTACGACTGCATATGACCTTTATTCTCAGAGATTGAAGGTTAGTGAGAACTATAGTCTCATGTCTTTGTAATTGACTCATTTATTGTTTCTCTTTGATGCGTGTTGTTTGTCGTTTTAGGACTGGAGTTTCGCGTGGCTTTGCATTTGTTCACTTTAAGTATACGAAGCTCACAAACCATTGGAAAGGCTTGATGGTAAGATCCTCTCAGTTTATGCATTTGGTGATTAGATTTGACATGAAGCGTTGGTCATTGTTTGAGGAAGAGTTGTCTTAGCTTTTAGTTTTAAGTTCCAAATTTCGATTCTTACACTTGAACCAATTTTTACAATATATATGTATGAAGACATAAATTAATCTTAAGAAACGTTTTGATTCAGAATTTTGGTTTTTCTGGACAAATGAGCATGAATCTGTAATATTAAAGCTTGCTTTGTCTCTCACATTGGTTTTGTAGGTTTTCTCAGGGCTGTATTTGTTCCAATGGAAAGACTAGAATCAGGTTTACGTGCAAAATATCTATGGAATGACCCGAGAGAGAAAAATCATGGAACATCAAAGATCAGATTTGATATAGGGAGGAAATGAGCTTATGCGGCAAGAACTCTGTTCTTCTTCTCACCAACTCATAAACAAGGATCAGAAATGACTTTATTACTGTGAAGAAACTCCTCTCTCCTGCTGATCTTACGGCCAACAAAATCATGTGACTATTTGACTGAAGTTGTTTCATCGGCAACGAAACCCACCACCGTTACGTAATTTGGCCGCATTCAAGCATATCAAATATGATGAGTTTCGTTTTTAAATCCAAGATGTTGAGTTCTTATGAAAACTTTCCCTGTTTCATATCTTATTTTGTCAGGTGACATAAGATTGTTCCAGATCCTCAGGGTTTAGTTTCACGACTCAGGATCATTACTTCGACGAAGCCAATGTTAGCTATTGTGACAGAGAAACGTTCATTGCAGTGTTAGTTCAACAGCAGAAGACGAAAATCCCGAATATCAGTCATGAGTTTGAGTTGGTGGAACAAAGGTAAATATCCCTGAAGTCTTAAGTAGTATGCCTAAAATATTTTGATTCCTCTGCATTTATATGTTTCTGCAGCTGAGTAGAAGGAGCAAGAAATCATTTATTTGTCGTTTCACTTGATTACTATCGGAGATGGGATATGAAGAACAAATGTTTTGCATTTCTCACAGTTTTTTTAAAGAAAATTGACCATCAGATTAAGGTGTTTCGAAGTCAACAATAACTTTCAATAAACAGAGGTAGCAGCTGCAAATACATAATCAAGCTGAGTGCTTGACTTTTTGACTGTCATCAATTGTCACGCTCAAGGTACAATTTCTCAGCGGTTTTTCTAAGTTCCATATACTTTTAAATCCAAGGTAGAACATGCATGCGGGCTGTTTGTTTTGTGGGTTTACTGGTCATTTTTCATTGATAATTTGGGAATCATCAACCTAGAGTGAACTAAGACTCTTAGGATCACTAATGCTTTTTAGTTGCAACTTTATGTTGATTCTAAAATTTTTGTAGAATGCATACAGGGTCTTTAATTAAATGCCAAAGAGATCATGTGCAAGATGAAGCTGAAAATCCTCAGAAGAGGGATTCAGTGCAGCTAAGCATCCAGGAGATCATGGACTACAAATCTAGCTAATTAGTCTGTCTCACACGTTTTTAAATTGATGCGTCCAAAAAACCAGCAGGCGTGGACTGAGATTCATGCTTCTTCATCTCTATACCATCATATGTACGCCCTGATAGTTTGAGATTGAACAAGAAACAACAACATTGTTTCATAGATTGAGAAGAACACATATGGTGGTTGATGACTGTATGGTGGTTATTGACTGAGCTAGGCTGGTATTGGGGTTGATAAAATTTTTGATTTTCGTAGAAATATTCCAAACAGAGACAAGAAGTTGGAAAATAGATATAAAGCAGGGAGTTGTATAATTGCAGTACACATGGACTGATAGATAGATACTTAAAAGTCACATGAATCATAACTTTCGTTTTTTTATTATCCAAAAGGCTAAGTACTAAAACAAAGGCATAGCTTGCTTAACTTTGGAATGGGAAAACTCCCTAATATTCTTCTATATATACTTTCCATCGTATTGTTCGAGTAACACACACACGCGAAGAACTACAAAAAGATGTAACTAGGCCTGGGCAAAAAAACCGGAACCAAAAAACCGAACCGGAACCGAACCAAAATACCCGAAACCGAAACCGGACCGAAATTGTTAAATATCCGAATGG